GATATTAACAGAAAGTACACAATTCTCTTACCCTCAACCAATATTAAATGTATGAACAATACAAAAAACAAAACAAAAGCTATGATAATAACTGAAGGAATACTATCCTCAACCAATATCAAATGTATGAACAATACCTAAAACCACAAAACTATGATAATTACTGAAAGAACACTAACGTACTATCCTCAACAAAAAAAGCTATAATATTAAGTTTAGGAACAATGAGTAGTAACAATATATCCAACTACTGTGTTTACGTCACATAACAATCTTTTATTTTATTTTGGCACTTAAACTGTGGCCTCAGATATAAATGTTGATTTTTGCATAATAGAATATAACCCACATATAAGACGATTTTTTATTCGTCTTACATGATAACAGCAACTCAAATAAAAGATTTTTCTTATTTTACTTTAGTTAATATCATAAAATTAACCTTATATCAAACGTTTTTAATTTTTAGACTAAATGCTAGCGATAATATTAGTGAAATACATTCATACTGTCATCTTTCATAGCATCGATAACCTAAGATAAAGGAACAGTAATATTTATTACACGTAATAAAGCTGATACAAGAGCCCTCAGATACAAGATGTATTAAGTTAATAACTGCAATCTTAGAGAAAGATCTGCTATTTTAACTTACACAACAAGATCCAAAATACTTGTATTCTATATAGTATTAAATACTTGAAAATGATTCTTCTTATAAATCATCTGCCATTATTGTGTTGTCAATTGGCTTGCAATAATAATAATAATCTAACTATAATACTTAGACTTCAACTTAACAATAGTTTTAGGCATAGCTGTACGAATGCTAACAAGATATGTAATCATAACATCCTCTGTTCACATCTTCTCTAATTCTAACATTTTTCTAAGCATTAAAAATACACGGATATTGTAGGATGGGGAAGTTAGTAATAGCAGTCTCACCTGATTTACTTGGATAACGACATTTCAAGCAAAAACAACATTGCACCAACATGTTACCACCAGTTTTCTCACGTCACCACACTGGCACCTACTAGCCTAACCAGTCGCGAAGTTTTTAGCCTCGATTCCACATGAAGTATGAAATACGTGCACTACTGATAAACTCTAGGCAGACCCATACTGCAAGGTCATTACTGTAGATCACGTCAATGGGCGAATATATACAAGAGTGTTCTTTTTTTTTTTTGACTGCCTTCACATCCTAACCCCTTTTCACAGCTAGAGACAATAGTT